GCGACACTGCCTCGTTAAAACCTTGCCAGGAAAAACCCAGTGGGACAAAAACCAGGACGAAGGAAAAAGAGTACAGTGTGTGAAGATCTTGCACGCTCCCCCTGATGCTTGCAAAATATCATTAAGCCATAATGTTGACTATCTTTCTAAATGTCGTAGTTGGCATTACTTTCTGTGAATTAATCTTGCAATATTGTAGGAATGCTCCCCCTGAAGAGTTACTCCCCCTGATAACTCCATACATGTCTTATATTGCTTATCACATTTGTCCTTCACAAATTGAGCTTTAGTAATGCCTCTATAAAATTTGCTCTTGTAGCATCATTGGAGGATATATGTGTGTCTTCATTTATTTAGTCCCTGTTGAGGTTAGAATAATACAACAACATCTAGACTATTTTCACAAATATTTTACTACATACAATGGCTTGAATAATGACTCTAAAATATTTAAAAACTATGAGCTCATACTTATAAATGTTTGTCTGGTATAATCACTCACTCATACATATTCTTGTATGTTTTGAGGATACTTGCATATGCTATTCTTCATAAGCTCTTCGGGAGTCTAATTCTCATAACTTCAAATATTTGAATACGTTGCAACGTTTTGAATTCGAATTCAATCAAAAGTACTCTCTGAGGCAATTTATTCATTTCAAGTCGATTGAGTACTTCAACTGAGCTTCAAGCTCTACATTGAGCGTCAGGCTCTACATTGAGCGTCAGGCTCTACACTGAGCATCAGGCTCTATATTGAGCTCCGGGCTCTTTTCTCTTCTTCTAGATTTCTTTGTGCAATTTATATATTGCATGGCACATTATATCTCTTAGAATTTATTCTTTTGTATTCTTCAGGAAAATTGCTTCTGGTGATATGTTTTTAGACACTTTATAATCTTTATAGATTTCTCATCTCAAATTCTTTTATTAAATCAGGGGTAGATTTCTCGTATCAAATTCCTTTATTAAATCAGGGGAAGCCTTTGTAAACTCTTCAAGAGTTCTAATAAAATTCTTTATATATATACTGCAATGATGGTAAACTCATTTCCAAAATTTGGATTATTTATACATATAGATATTCATTAAGTCGATTATACCATATTCTTCCACAATACTTTAATCCACACAAGGATCATTACAAGCCATCATATTTTTAAATCATTTGCTTCAGGCATTTTGAATTCTTCAGGAATTTTCATACACATGAATATGCATAACATAGCTGCATATGTTTACCATCATAATCCCATGTCTTTACTGGGAAACGTTGTGCCATATCATCAAGTGATTTATTTCACTTTATCTTAAACACCATTTTACAACATATACATTTTCATATCCTTTTGGTGTTTTTATCTATAGGTTCAATCATTGCACTTTTTCAGGAAATTTTCAACTATACTGGACTGCCTCTTCCAGTTGGCCAATCTTTATTTACATTTGTCGACAATTATAACAAGTGGTGCAATATCATCATGTATAGCCCTTGATAACTTTAAGTACGTACTATAAACCAATATATCATCAATTCGTGATCCCATCATTCTCATGTGCATGCGCATGCATAATTTATAAGCATCTCATTGCTTTCATTATTTTCTGGTACCAGTGCCATTTCAGAGGCTTTCATTGTCACTTCATGAACAAATATCTCTTCTAAGATATAGAATTTATAGAATGTGGATCATAACCTCTTCTAGAGCGTTATTTTAAATAGGGCTTAAACTTTGCAATTAATCTCCACTTCTGAGGAGTTTGGAACCTATAGATATGTCATGCTTCAGGCATCCAACATCTTTATCTGTCCTGCTTCAGGCATCCAACATATTACTCATTACTATGCGTTTGTATGTGCTTGAACTTCTGGCATTTGACTTACAGTCTTTTTCTGTCTGAATTTGCTTCAATTTATAATGAGACAATAATAAACATATTCCATAATCATTCACGTCGTTCTTTGTTCTTTCAGGAACAACCAATTCTCCCCCTAACGACGGGAATTTTGCCTCATCAAGATGAATCCAGAAGTATTATAAGCATAGGTTTTGGAGACAACAAAGAACAGAAACTTCAGGTTCACTTAATAGAATCACAAAGATACAGGATAATGCTTATAATATAAAAAGCAAACTCACAACGATCTATAAAAAGTGTGAGGCTTACAAACTTCCTTTGATCATTAGAATGTAGAGAGGTTACATGAAGAACATGAAATATACTGGAGAGATTCATGTTGTGATGGAAACGTACCATGCTTCATGTTCTGATGATATATCATCCATATTCTGATCCATGAAGCATATGGATCTTCCTCTTCTATCATATGTGAGAGAGGTATATATGTTCTAATGAACAATGTCCTCTCTTTCTTATCATAAATGGACCCAGAAGCTCAGTGAACGAGGCTGATCCATGATCAAACAACTACCCTAACAAAGTAGTGGATCATGATCAAAGATAATCTTGCTTCTGAAGGTCTTGATCAAAGATAATCTTGCTTCCATGGAAATCTTCAGGATTCCTAAGCACGCCAAGTGCTGTTGAGAGAATTCAGGTTGATATCTCATCCTTTCTTTAGAGAGCAACAACAAAGGGGTATTATGAAACCGTCCAAGAGTAGGGAATATATATAGCAGAAATAAGAATATAGAAAACAGGTGGCCTAAACTTAAACCATACGTTAGGCTCTAATCAATCAGATTACTTTTGACAAAATTCTCAATAAGACAATCCGGAATTTATGCAAAGAGTAAAACGATAAGAATTGAATCCCTTTTATATATAAAAATATCTCAAAGGTTGGATCGGATACCTTACCATGGTCGACAAGTTTGAGTGGGCAGAATAGATTTGTGGAACAAGAATTCGAATTATATGGATGGTTGTCATGTTGCTCACCTATATATATATATGATGCTTACAATTCACGGTTCATCAATAGAATACGTTCCTTATTTTCTGCTATTACTTAAGTGGTTCATTTCCACATCTTCTCCTTAAAAATGTCTTCCTATCCTCAAAATAATTTTGATTTGAATACTGCTCCCCAGGAGCAAATATTGTTAGCACTGAGATCAGATAGTGAAGTTGTCAATGATTCTTTGGTTGCTAGCATGCAGCATGCTGCATCAGTTACCAATTTAGGACAACGGCTACTGGCCAGATCACAAGAAGTGCAGGCACTTAGATCTCAAGTCCTGATACTGCGCAGAAGGCTGACTGAGGCTAATCAAAAACTTAGAAGACTGGAGAAAAGTAATAAAGATTTGGAGGAACTTGTTTCTGTGTTGCAAGTTCATGAGGAGAATGAAGAACACAAAGATTCTCCTACGGATGCCCAAATCTGAGGCATTAAATATTTGAGTAATTTTGATTATGTAATTTTCCCCTTTGTAATATAGAACTGCAAGTTCCAATTCTCTATAATGATATGAACATAGTCTCCACTAAACCTTTAAATCATATGAACTTCAAGTCCATTTTTGAAATAATATGGATGACCAATAAAACTTCAGGTTCTTTGTAATCTTGATCTTATGATGCCCTAATTGTGATATCAAAAATATAGAACTTCAGATTCTATGTAAACATCTTGTACGTTTGTTTACAGAACTTCTGGTTCTTGGAAATTTATCTCATATATATAAAACTTCGGGTTTCATGAATTAAATTCCAAAATTATATTTAAGTAAATGTACTCAAATCTTCTGGTTTTGGATTACACATAAAATACTGAAATGAAATAAATAAGATACAATAAAAGTAAGACAATAATTAAACTGCTGTAAAATAAATAGGTGAAACTTCTGGTTTTTCATTTTATTGCTCTTTTATGAGTTTAGGGAACTGCAAGTCCCTTTTTGTATACAGTAACGGATTATCCAAAATGGTTACTATTCATGCATAATACATTTGCCAATATATTTACTAATCATGTGTCTGACACCATTATCATATTATCAAGGAGCTTCAAGTCCTGGTTTACATGTCAATGATTTTTGGGTCCGATCATATTTTCACAAATATAATTTCAAAGAGACTGCCAGCTCTCATTTTATTTCATCATTAAAGATCTTCAGGTTCTAATGTAGTATGATGAGGATCAAGGAACGTCAGGTTCCAATTTCTTGCATGATATACAATTCATAATGAACTTGTAAAATAAATTCTCAAAATAAATATGCAGTAAAATAAATTCATAAAGTAAAGTGCTTGTTGTATGGGCGTTAATTCCGCACCATACTTTAAATAAAAGTAAATGTACGATAAAATAAATGTGCTTGTATGGGTATTAATTTTACTCCATACTTTAAATAAAAATAAATAAATATAGGGATAAAACCACCACTTAATACAAAAGGGATCTTCTGGCCTTTTTTTAGATTTACATGAATTTAGGGACTTCTAGCCCTTCATTATATATTTAAGGATCAAGATCTTTTGGTCTTAATCGATCATACGTGGGCTGTGAGTTCACAGGCATCCCTGATAATCAATTTCTTATCTCTGCCATTTCATTATGATTGTAGCAATGACCTCTCATGATCAATTGTGGCAGTGACCTTTCCTAGGTCCTGTTGAATAATCAAACAGATTATTAGGAACCATACATATTTAAAGATAATTATCAAATATTATATATTGTATGTATATATTAGGTAATATATTAATTTATTAAACTAAAATATAAAAGTATGGGCGGAAAGCTTCTAGCAATAATATCAAAAAGTTTCAGAAAGATGCAATAAAGTAACATATATTTATAAAAGACAAATAAATAGAATTGATCTTTGTGTAGGATATCACCACGCATGCTCCTTAAGTGTATTTCATAAACATAGTGGATGGACACCTTTACTTGCACGAGCTTCTCCTGCACAACTTTACTTGCTTTTTATGGTCAATATGAATATATATAATATTATAGATATAATAATGTAATAAACTATCAGGATAAATAAAAGTAGAGGACTTATCTCTCAGATAGTCACTAAAAATTCTTTTTCCTTGTTTTGTGCCGTAGTCCTTTCAGTTGGCATCTCCTTCGTAAGCAGATCACAGTTCAGTCTCCATCCCATCCCTGGTAAGTCTCTCTTTGGTACAAGTACGACTTTTATGTAGTGTTTTCATGGGAGATAGAGGGATGGAGGCGGTGGGTGGTGTTTATCTAGATTGTGTTTTCTTTACCCCTTTCTTCTCTTACATGTTTGTATATATTGTTTTAGAGAGGATATTTGTAGTTGCAGAGGTTAGCAGCTAAGGCTTGAGATAGAAAGGTAATGAAGCAGAGGAGTTTGATCGGAGAACTCAGTTGGTATTTTGAAAGCGAAGTCGTGCTGATAACGTGATATAAAACTAAAGGAATTGAGAGAGAATTTAAGAGAGTATAGATGTAGAGAAAGCCATAAGAATGTTCTCTAGGCTTGTTCATCTTCTCTGTATCTTCTTATTGATATTGGTGCCTATTTATAGGCAGAATACATACATTTAAAATTACATAAATGTTCCCATTGATAGCATAATGGGGTGAGTCATCCGGAAGGTATAGTTGGGTATGATCTCACATACATTAGGTATACTAAAGTATTGTGGGCATCCATTACATATATTTTATAACAATGGCAACATCCTCGATTAAACTTTAATACCTCGGATTGGCCAATTGTTGAATTCTATATTCTTTCTGTGTACTGTCTGTTATTGGACTAATAATACACTTGCCAGGGCCCTTCATTTCTAGTGGGCTTGGACTTATTAGTAAACAGAACTGAAACGATGCGCATAAAGAATAACAATAGTAATTATTATAAAAGGAAATAGATACCAACCAAGGTTGCAGAATCTTTGCATCAGAAAAAGACATAGCTATATCCTATGTTATATATGCATAGATGTAAATGCTCTTTTATCTTTTTGGTACTGAAAATAGGGACACTACTACAAAAATCGAAATAGACGATGGTAATCCACCGTCGTGTATTCGGTTTTTCAATCGTCGTGAAATCGACTGACATCTTTTGATGCATAAAACCACGACGGTAAATCCCCGTCGTATATTATTTGTAAAGACGACGCTTTTACTCAAAACCGTCGTCTATTTACATATAATAGACGACGTTTTTTTTAAGAACTTTCGTCTATTTGATGTAAAAACGACGGTTTTTGTTAAAGAACTATGTTTTATTATATCCAAAGACGTCGGTTTTGTTAAAAAGCCATCATCTATTAAATGTGAAGACGACGATTTCTTGAAATATTGTCGTCTATTAACTCTAAGACAACGATTTTTTAGTAAAACCGTCGTTGATTTTATATAAAAAAGACATTATGGTGTTAAAAGAGGTCATTGATATTATATACAGATGACGGTTTTTCCAATAAAACCATCGTTTTATTATCTTTAGTTTTTTGAAGAGTCAATAGTTATTACATAGTCAACCAATCTTTATTCTATTACATACATACTTCCTACCTATAATTAGAAATAACGGAGCTCACAAATTCTACTAATTTGATTTTAACTTCATCAATTTGTTCTTGGGTTGACTTAGCTCTGCCTTCTTGCACATTTTCC